TTCCCTACAAATTAAACAAAATAAAACCTATTACTATCTTTATCTAATAAGATATTTTATATGTTTATTGTATATAATACATATTTTATTATATACCTTCAAGAATTTTTAGACCACTAGATCTTGATAATGCATCACCCAAAACCCATGAATCATGTGCACTTCCTTTCTAGCCAGCTAAAACATATATAAACTTCAAATGAAAAGTTATAGCTGCTAAAATATTTTGTGTTGTTTCTTTTTTTCGACCTCAAAACTTTCCTTGAATCTCAATAGGAACATTTGTAGGAACATGGGTACCATCAATTACTCCACACAATCCTATATAAATATGAAAAAATATTTATAAACTTTTCTTCTAGATGTAATTAATTAATGTATAAAAATATCGGTATTGTTCTCATACCTTAAAATAAGGATAGAATCTTCGATTATTGATTATCTCAGCTAGAACTGTATCATTTGGATCTTTAATTAGGTGTTTATATAACTTAAGAATTGCTTTTAAAATAATTCTAAAGTAACAATGGATAATTTCAACAGACTTATAGTATATACCACTAATAAAACGAAATCTTTAGTTTTGGCCTACAATTTGTAAGAACATAATTACTTACTCCCTAGTAGACATATTTTGAGTTAATCATAATAGGTCACGACTTGTGAGGACATCACACAATCTATATAAGACACAGGTTTCATACGAATTTGTTTAACGCATTGTCTATCACCTTGATTCAAAATGCTGTCAATATAGAGTTCTCGTTGAGCAATTGCATTTATATATGGTTCTCTTGGTATATAAATTCTATTTCTTTTTTGTTCAATAATAGCTACCTTTGTAGCTATCACAGTTACAGCTACTCTCATACATGCTGCATAAATTATCTTACTATTCATAACATGAAAGTAAAGTTTTCTGATAACAAAACCTAAAAATTTAGAAAAATAAATATTAAAAAAAGCATATAAAATACTTTCACAATCAATATAATAAATTATGCTAAAAGAAGCTAACAATGTATAATAGTTATGGCAATGATATCTGATTTCCTAAACAAACAAGGTCTTAAAATATATTATTTAAGACCATAACATTCAATTTCTCGATGATAAAATCGTTTTAAAAATTATACAATTCATAAGTTCACAACAATCAATAGACATTGAGCAATGAAATCCATATAATTACTGGCATAGTCCCATAAATTTATCCATATGTAACAAATATAATCAAACACTAATAATAAATTAATCAAAGCAAAATAAAACACAAATTTATGTTTATTAGGTTTTGTTATAATTTCCCTGTTCCCATCCCATTCCTCACCCATTCTCTTCACCCTCTCGGTTTCTATAATTCCCCATTTTCCCTATTATATAAAATTCACTCCCCATTTCCCCTATTATATAACATTCCCCTCACCCTCTCAGTTTCTATAATTTCTCATTTCCCCTGTTATATAACATTCCCCTCTCACTCTCGGTTTCCCCCATTCCCCTGTTCCTTCTCACTCTTGGTTTCTCCTCCCACTCTCCCCTAGTTACTTGTTCTGGTAACGCTGTGACTTGAAAAAAAAAAAAGAGCAAGGGTTAATTTTCAACACATTAACCGATCCCCCCTCATTTTACTTTGCTTCTCGCTCTTTCTGCTTACACCCGGGATATGATGGCCGGATCCGGGGACAGTGTAACAAGGAGGGGTTGCTTTTTTACTGGGGAAGTTTGGGGATTTTGTAAAAGGATATTTACAGTGAGTTCACAGAAATCTCCCCCCCTGTTTTTTGCCTCTCTCTGTTAACAGAAATCCCCTCCATTTTGCCTCTTTCTGTTCACAGTACTCTCCCCCCCTGATTTTGTCTCTATGTTTTGTTAGAAATTGCCCCCTTGTTTGGTTAGAAATTTGAGCTGCCGATTGTGATTGATGAAGAAGAAAATAATCATAGAAAAAATATGTTTTTTGTTGGTTACTTGATGAATTTGGTTAGTTTTAATTGTCGAATGTGATGAGATAAGATGAAGAAGAAAATTATGTTATGGAAATTTTATGGAAAAAATACGACAGGTAGCAGATTTATCAAGAATATAAAAGGATTTATGCCATAATTTTTACAGATCTAAACGAAGAAGAAGATAAAAACATAAAGGAAATAATAAAAGGAAAAAAATACCTAAAATTAATTGGTCCAGAAAAATGCTTTGTTCCACATAAATGAATTGCTCAGCTTCCAATTGTTTCTAAAAAGAAAGAGAGCCTGTGATTTGAGAAAATGAATGGAGTCGGAAAAAAAAAGTGTTTTCCTTTCTTTATCATATGGAAAACATTTTCCTTTGATAAAATAGCTTTTTTAGTTTGACTGAATTAAGTTTCCTTTGACTACTTTTTTCTATTATTACTAAATATAATAAAATAAGAAAAGTGAATTTGAAGAATTTGTTTTCCTAGAAACAAACACGCTCTAGGTTGAAGTGTTGTGGAGCAAGGGGGTTAAGAAATTGCATTCGCTTCCTCCTCTGCCTGTGAAAGGTCGGAATCTCTCAAAATGAGAACTTTCAAACAAGTAGGTGAGCATATGATAAAACAAGAAGTTTCTCTAGTATTGACTTTCTAATATGCTACATTCTTATTTTATTTCTTGTCAACTTCATGTATAGTGTTGGAATGGTTTAGCAGAAAGACATAAAGTGCTTGCTGAAAAGCACAAATGAGGTGAAGCACCAAGACATCTGAGAACAATAAAGAAATCTAAGATGATATGGTCTAAAAATGGAGGTATGCGTAGGGTTTGTGTTTGGGGTTTTCTTTTTCTAAAGCATTAACCTGTCACATTTCATCCACGATGTTGACATATGCAAAGTGTTGCAATCCTTCCCATCATAGAAGACCACATCAAACGAGAAAGACAACCAAACTAGAAAAGAGAAAGTTGATGAACATAGAAGAGACCTTGTAGCCATGTAAAACATTTAATAATCATTGATTAGTACTTAAAAGTGCATTTTTATCATGGTTTTATATCATCATTTTGCACTTGAAGTATCAATAACTCCTTAACCAAAGCATATTTTATAATAATATATCTAATAATACTTAATACCTTTAATTTATGGTAAATGTTCATTTTAAATGCAGGCCTATCACATAAATGAAAGGATTGATTGATGACTTTAAGAACTTAAATTGCAAGGATAAAGAGATGGCCAAACTTAGAAAAGAGATGTCGGTGCAATCCAAACCGGAACACTGTTCGGTAAATGGGTCATATCTGGAGCTATATATCTCAGATTTAGGTCCAATTTATATGGATGGAAAGGTAAGACATAGGCCTACAACTTTCATATGGAGCCCAAGATCTAAAAAGGCCATTATCAAGTCCAAATTGTAGCAACAACAAAGAAGCCCGAATCTGTCTTCCAGCCCGAGCACTGTTCGGTATTTTGGCCATATCTGGAGTTCTAGAAGTCCAAATGAGCTGAATGTTTTACACAAGAAAGCTGAGACAATTGCCTACAACTTTCATGTTTGCAACTGGCTCCAGTTTTGACGTTATCAATGACGTTTTGGGCAGACAAAAGAAGATAAGGATTGTCACCAAGTCAAAAGTTGGTCACCCACTTATCAATTAGTCATCAAATCAATAGTTCCCATTTTTGGCCTATAAAAGGAGGCATTTGCCATGCATTTAGGCATCTTGGTGTTCAGATCAAGATCATGCTCTTCCTTTCTCTCTTTGTATTTTTTATGCTTTGTTTTCATTAATATTAAGTTTATGCCTTTCATTTCCTTTCCTTTACTTAGTTAACTTTTATGTTCTTATTTTGTTTATCTATTTTGCTTTCTTTCATTATGTCTAGCTAAGTTAATTATGTCAAGGTGAAAAGGTTACACTAATGGTGTAAGAATAAGTATAATGTAAACTTAATATGGACTTTAATGTTTGATACTAACATGTTTTATATTTGTTATCTTGTTCACTCTTTAATACTTTGCTTGTTAAATGACTAATCTTGATTTATGTTGTATAACACTTGGTACAACAAATGCTTGGCACTTTCATAGCCCATAATGTATGGTATAACCGACACCTGAGCTATGAAAGGAACTTGATTTATTGTTAACATAAGTTATAATCATGAATGCTTGACGAGATTTACAAGTATTAGCATTAATTGAATAAGATGACTAATGTAATCATGTTAACAATATATAATCTGATTGGAACCTCCTTTGTGTGTGGTTTCCAATTCAATAATAAGAGTTTATACTATACTTGTTTGATATACCATTAGTGGAACCTCTAACCTTGACATTTGTTATTATCATTGTTTAATCGTTACATTAATATTCCATCTCAAAGTTCTCATCTTCTTCTTCTTCTTCTCCTTCTTTTTCTTTATTATTATTATTATTATTATTATTATTATTATTATTATTAGTACTACTACTACTACTACTACTACTACTACTACTACTACTACTACTACTACTACTACTACTACTACTACTACTACTACTACTACTACTACTACTACTACTACTACTACTACTACTACTACTACTACTACTACTACTACTACTACTACTA